TATATATATATATATTTATTTATATATTTATATATTTATTTTTTTTTTATTTATACCTGAGAGACAGGGTGGGTTGATGAAGTGCTGCAGCTGCTGCAGCTGTCTTAGGTTTGCTGCTGTCTGCAGCAGCTGCTGCTGCTGCTGCAGCAGCAGGTCTCGCTTTGCATGCAACGTCAGCAGCAGGCTAGCAGCAGATACAGGGCCCCCATCCAGCCACACCTTCAACTCAGAATCTATCGCAGCAGCAGCAGCAGCAGCAGCAGCAGCAGCAACAGCAGCAGCAGCAACAGCAGCAGCAGCAGCAGCAGAAGCCGCAGCAGCAGCAGCAGGAGAAACAAAACAGGGTGAGTTGCTGGGGAGATTAAAGCTGCTGCTGGAAGCAAACGATGCAGCAACAGCAGAAACAGCAGAAGCAGCAGCAGCAGCAGCAACAGCAGCAACAGCAGCAGCAACAGCAACAACACCGGCAGACTCTCGAAGTCTTCCAGCAGCAGCAGCAGCAACAGCAGCAGCAGCAGCAGCACCACCACCACCACCAGCAGCACCACCACCACCAGCAGCAGCAGCAGCAACAGCAGCAGCAGCAGCAGCAGCAGCAGCAGCAGCAGGAGATTACATTTGTTGAGTATATCGGTTAAGGCTCCTCTCATCGCCACCGACGTTTGCTGCTGGAGGCCGTATAAAGAAGAAACAATAGAAGCAGAAGTTTTGGGGCTTGCTGCTGCATGCGCTGCATGCGCTGCTGCTGCTGTGTCATATCGATCAACCTTGTTTATACCTGAGCAGCAGCAGCAGCAGCAGCAGCAGCAGCAGCAGCAACAGCAGCAGCAGCAGCAGCAAAAGATAATACATTGAAGCAGCAGCAGCAGCAAATGCAGCAGCAAGAAAGAGAAAACAATCGCGTACACAACAAAACCAGCAGCAGCAGCAGCAGCAGCAGTAGCAGCAGCAGCAGCAGCAGTAGCAGCAGCAGCAGCAGAAGCAGCAGTAGCAGCAGCAGAAGTTGCAGCTCCTGCTGAGGCGGTGCCGGCCTCCTAAACCCTAAACCCTAAACCCTAAACCCTCAAACTGGAGAGTGTGTAAGGGTTTAGGGTCTATCTAGGGTTTAGGGTTTATTGTTTAATTAGGGTTTAGGGTTTAATTAGGGTTTAGGGTTTAGGGTTTAGGGTTTAGGGTTTAGGGTTTAGGGTTTGTGTTGCCTGCTGCAGCTTCACATAGAGATATTCTTTTCTCTATTTCATCCAGCATGAGGCGAGTATCATACGTTGATGCTGCTGCTGCTAGCTGCTGCTGCTGCTGCTGCTGCTGCTGCTGCTGCTGCAGCTGCTGCTGTTCCAGCTGCTGCTGCTGCAGCTGCTGCTGCTGCTGCTCATTCTCAGGCTGCGCCGCGGGAGCATGAAGCTGCTTGGTTTCTTGCTGCTGCTCCTGCTGCTGTTCCTGCTGCTGCTGCTGCTGTTCCTGCTGCTGCTGCTGCTGCTGCTGCTGCTGCTGTGAGTCCTTAACTTCTTCTTCCACCGCTTGCTGCTGCTGCGGCTCATCCGGCTGCTGTTGCTGCTGCTGCTGCGGTCCATCGTCTTGCTGCTGCTGCTCCGCCCCCTGCTGCTGCTGCTGCTGCTGTTCTGCATCCGCAGCAGCAGCAGCAGCAGCTGCTGCTGCTGCTGCTGCTTCTGGAGACTCGTCAGCCATAGTTGGTGCTCAGCATATACACCTGGGGGGAGTCAAGCCTGTCTGCTGCTGCTGCTGCTGTTGCTGCTGCTGCTGCTGCTGCTGCTGTTGCTGCTGCTGCTGCTGCTGTTGC